CCGGGGAAGGTTTCCTGTAGCAAGTGGGATTTTAGTTAGGACTTGAAAGGAAAGAGATGGTTCCAGGTGTGGGAGAGAGCCAGAGAAAATGCCCAGACCCGAGAGACAGAGGTTTCGTGGAGTAGCCAGGAGGCCAGTCACCGGACTGGAGAGTTCGTGTCTGGGAGTCACGTGTGAGAAACCTGGAAAGGCTGGAGGTGGCTAGGCCATGAAGGGCTTTGAATGCCGAAACAGAGGATTTTGTTGATCCGGAAAGTGACAGGGAGCCAAGGGGGGTTATTGAATTGTGAGGATATATGGCAAGTTAACATTTTTGGAAGAGAATAAATTAAAACTGGATCTGTGATTTTATTGAAACGGAACTCCCAGGTAAGGAAATTCCCTCTCTTGTTGCAGGTCGGCAGCAAACCGTCTTGGCCTGTTGTTCAGACCACTGAGAAGTTAAGGGACTGGCCTAAGGTCACACAGTCAGTCTGTGTTAGAAGCAGGTTTTCCTGGCTCCAAAGCCAGCCCTCTCTAACTCTTACACCATGCTAGCTTTCCAGTCTAGAACAGACTTAGAGGAGTCAAAAATTGGAGCATTTCATTAAGAAAATATGAATAACTATTGAAATGTAAGCAGGAATAGGTTAATTGTCACATGGTTAGGCTCATCACTTATTAAATCAAAATTAGGCTGAAATAGTTGTAAGCATCATTTTGCAGAGCAGCGAGGCAAGACTGGAGTTAGGAAACCTGAGTTCAAGTCTAGCTGTGTGACCCTGGGCAAGTCCCTTAACCCTATTTGCCTCAGTTTCCTCTTTTATAAAATGAGCTGGAGAAGGAAATGACAAACCATTCCAGTATCTTTACCAAGAAGACCCCAAGTGGGGTTACAGAGAGTCAGAAATGACTGAAAACAACTAAATAACAAATAAGAAAATGCAAAATAAACCTGATTTAAAAAAGAAAATCCAAACACACATCTCCCCAGTGCTTAGCACATAGTCGGTATTAAATAAATGCTTGTCAACTTGCCTCATCTCCAGACTTGCAGATATTTCTTGTACTTCATGAAATCCATTGTGGAACCTTGGGAAAATTTTTTTTTAATATAGGTCTGTTATAAAGAGTCATGCTTTTCTTGTAACTTGATATAATTTGTATAAAAATGATTCACTTGACTTCAGAATTGTTTATCCCCCTGGGGGTAACTTTGCATATGTAATGAGAACTGAGCCAGTCTACAGTTCTTGGACCATGTGAGTCCATGCCACCCGAGTTCTTCTAAACATTCAGACGTGTAATTAGAGGCCCTTGTGTGAGGATGACGTGGCACACTGACAAGTCTTATCATGTGTCTGACGGAGGTGCTGTGGCTGAGCCCAGTTCCCTCTGCAGCTTACAGGGCTGCCCCTGGAGCCTACTGCATGGCATTAACCCATGGGAGGTGCTATCAGTTTAGCATCTGGGCGGCCTGGAACTCTTTTATCAATTACCAATCAGAGACAGCATGTACAAGAACACCTGTTCACCCAAGAACATTCGGGACAGTCAGGAATTCAAAACATACAGAAAGTGTCTTCCTCGTGCATGCCCAGAGGAAGGAAGACCTAGGTTTTCTAGAGACAGTGTGGAAAGAGCCCAGACTTCCAGAAGCAGCACCCAGTTGCCCGTAGTCAAAGGAAGGCAAGCTGAAGAGCTGTGTATACTGCATGTGATGAAGATGCCTCTGTGCTCCACTGCTGTTCCCTAACTAGACACAATAACACGTAGGGGGCTCCGAGATCTGAATTTTTGGTGGTGGCTGACACACCTGTAAATAATAGCCCAGAGTTAAGTGAATTGGCATTCTATTGTTGAATAGTTCATTATATAATCGAGCATAGATCTAATTTTTTGGCTGGGGGATGTAGGAGAAAATCCTAAGGAGAAACCAACTTACTTAACAAAAGAACTAAGGTTTTTCTGTCAGCAGTCACATGCTTTCCAAAATTTGCTCTCCTGGGTAGGTTTATTTTCGGGAGGTCACCAGTAAGGTGTCTAGAAGAAGAGCTATGAGGAGCATAATAAGAGCTAACTTTCCATAGCACCTACTATGTGCAGGGCGATTTATAATTATCTTATTTGATCTTCACAACGCCGTAGGAAGGGTAGTATGATCCTCATTTTACAGATAATAACTGAAATGTATACAGTGCTGACTATGTGTGCTAAGCAATTTATAATTCTCATTTGACCTTCACAACAACACTGGGAGATAGGTAGCATTATTATCCATTTTACAGAGGTAAACTGACTTGCGCAGGATCACATAGCTAATAAGTGCATGAGGCTGAATTTGAACTCAGGTCTTCCCAACTCCAGGTCTGGCACCCAGTGGCATGTCTTTACAATGAACTCATTTCCTTGAAAAGTCTGCCTGCTTCTATATGGAAACTGATGAGTGAATGGCAGTCACCCGGAGTCTGTACTAGCAAAGATTTCTTTGCAGGTATGTGCAGTGTTGTGAATGTTCTTTGCATAGATAAGGTGAAAGAAGGCCAGAATCTTGGTGCCCCACAGCCGTTATAGATTAGAGCAAAGCCTGGTACAAAAAGATGGGCATGCAAGTTCCCACCCTTTTATTTAACAACCAGATTTCTTCAGACATGCCCAAGTCATGTTATTTCACTTTGCCCAAAAGTAGTTAGGAACTGAAAAGCTTTGAACTACCCAAGTACAAACACATTTAAAAAATGGGTTGCCCACTCTCCCTCGCCCTGCCCACCCACACACAACTCAAAACAGACCCTTTTGAAAATTTTATGGTTGTGTTTGGAAAAACACTTCTAAACCAGAGGGGACAAAACATTCCAGCCAAGCTTCTTATGGGGAAACAGTGGAAAGAAGGGCACGGAGCCCACATTGGGACAAGCACCCCTACAAACACGATGCTCTGGTGTGGGGATGGTTGTCAATCTACCCTTTGCCTTTTGGTTTGCATTCTTCACATGACTCATTTCCCAGAGACATGAAGCCTCGGGCAGCAACGGGGTGGGGATGCCAAATCCTTAAAAGAACACTGTCTCATTAATCCACAAAGCTTAATTATTGTCTTCACCCATTAGATGTAAGCTTCTTGAGGGCAGAGACCAGGTCTTGAGTACCTAACACATATGTGGCCCTTAATAAGTGCTAACATCTACATGTAACTTTGGTATCAAATACTTTTTTTCTCTCCCGTTGCTGACATTTAGTCTGGGCAGACAGAATCAACGCCTGTTAATTCTACTTTGACCATTTCCAATCAGTTACCACTATTTGTCAACATTTGTGTCCAACATCTTAGAAATGTTAGTATCTACTAACTGTGTGACCGTAGGCAAGTCACTTAACCCCAATTGCCTCACCAAAAAGAAAAAAAAATGTCAGTATCCAAATAAAAGCTACCTTGAAATTCTTAAGAAAGGAACAGAATACATGGCAGTGATCTTGGCCAAAGTACGAAGTTTAGAAGGTTAAAAGGAGAAAGATGGATAGATATAAGAGATGCAGGTCAAAGAACCTCTGGATAAAGAGGATAAAGAGAAAGTTTCTTCCTACATTACACTTAAAAGTAGAAATGAGTGAAAACAGAAAAGTGCTGGGAGTAGCAGGATTTCACTGAGAGAACCAGACAATGACTGCAGAAGGTAAAAAGACTATATTATAATGTACCAGGTGATTCTGGATAAAGGGCAACAGACTAAGTTCTTTTGAAGTTTTAGGACCTAATCAGCCTTCTCTGTGCCTGCCTTATAAGAGACAAATCTTATCTCCCAATGATCTGTAACAATCCATTTTCCTGGCACTAAATTTAGACCCTTGCTGGGTGTTAAGCTTTAGAGAAAACCTTCCTGGACATTCACCTTGTTAACAGCTTACACAGATGGGAATCGTTTCCAGTTAGCTGTGTCTGCTGACAACACCAGGTTAACTATCAAAGAGAAATCCAACATAGTAGCTTCCAAGGTTCTTTCCCATTAATCTGAGAAGGGAATACATTCCCAGTGTCACCCCAAGGACATAAAAATATATCAAAATTTACATGAGAAAGTTCAGATAACCCAGAAGCAAGAAACATGACAAATGGTGTCATAAATATTATAACTTTATTAAAATGAAAAGACATATTATTCAAAATAATGCAACAAAATGAATAAAATCCTTTGTCCAATACTGTACACATGATGCAGAAATCAGTGCATTTTCTATCGAATGTTTTCACCTTCATTTAGTCTGTACTAAAATATAATAAGCTTTAAATAGCTCAAATAATATCATTCAGCAGTTTTAAACTGTAAACAGCTCGTTTTTACTGTTAGGAGAACACCATGAGCACCTTTCCTCCTGTGCTTCTCCAGAGAGGAGAAATACACGGAAAGCACGAGAGAAAGGCGAACACAAGCAACACGTGCAGACTCGGAAGCAGTGAATCAGACCTTTTGCTCGGGGTTTTACTGTCAAGGGTGGAAAAAGAGAATGATTCGACCTCTTGCATTAAGACGTACTGTGCTGTTGGTCAGTGGAAGCGTTTCACTTAAAAAAGCAAAACCACCTCCAGAAAATACTGAATAGAAACCAGCAACACAAGGCCAGCTTGTGTTGTACTTCTGGTTATTAATACAGTCTGAAGTTTAAAAAAAACAACAACAAAAAAAAACAAAAACAAAAACCCACCCACCCCAAAATGAGAAGAGTGTCTGGATCTTAATCACTGTTTCATTATTGGCCATTAATTGACAGTGTGAACACCTTGGTGCCTTTCCATCAGGGAGAGGCTAATGCATCTTTCTGCCTTGGGGAGAGAAACTGGCTTTTTTTTTTTTTGTAACGTGCTGTTTTAGTGGATAAAAAGAACTTAGAAGGCACAATGAAGAAAAAAAAAAGAAGTCTAATTCTATGTGACCATTACCTACTCATTTTGCTTTCTTCATTTTTTCCAAGTGTGGGAGATACATACAGGTAGTATAATGTTTCCCAAAAGAAGCCAATCAGACTTTGCGGATGATTTTTGAAATGGGCATAGTACATCCCAGCTCACGCTTCTTGCTAATGTAGGCCCAGGTTTTTGTGGAGAAGTCAAACTCAAAAGAGGAAAAAGAAATCAAATGTCAAAGCCCCCAGTGCCACTAAAACAAAACCTTCTGTGGTTCTGAATGAAACAATACTGTCCTTTCACTTGCTCAGTTTTCAGTCTGGCAGCACAGTCTGATTTCTCCAGCTTGAATTTTTTTATTACTCTGAATATATATATATATTACTCTAAGATAGTAACTAACTGGTTAACCTGTAACTATGGTTATACCACAAGTTCCTATATAGATATATATATAGATATATATAGATATATAGATATGTTCCCCCTCCCCCCAACATCACATCTTTAAATTATACAGACTTGAATAAAAAGACTTTTCTCCAAAAGAAAACTGAGGGATTCTCATAACAACACCTTACAGTTGATTTACCGCCTTCTCTTCAAGGCAGAGACTTCAGCTGTTTACTTTGCCACGAGACCTTCGGCAGACTCGCCAACACTAAGCTTGCCCCAGAGAGCTCACTGCGCTCGCTCTGTGCCACTGCTGAATGATATTCCCAGAGTCTAGGGAGAAACCACATAGGATAAATGCTTGCGTTTCCCCTGGCCCTCAAGGTCCATTTTCGCTCTGGAGTCCAGCTTTTCGGTCACTGCAGCTGTCCTGCAGTCACTGGACGGCAGCTGAACGGGGGCACTCACAGCACTGGTTTCTTCTGTTTCCCTAAAGAACTTCTCGTATTTGTCCAGATACGGCGGCCTCTCAGGTAGTAGGTAATAATGCGTTGAACTCACCTTCTTTCCATTTTCAATGATGGGCAGGATGCAAGGACCCTTGCTAGCAGACCCTTCACTGTTCTGTCTTTGCAACGCTTTGCTGCTGACGTATTTGGGATCGGGGGCAAAGCTCTGTGTAGGGGGCATGACCCCATTGAGGTAAGACGGGAGGCTTTTAGGACTCGGCGTCCGGGAGTTACTCCGTGATAAAGGTTCTCTCGGAGGCACTTTGGGAGGCCTGTCTTCGTCACTGTATGTGCTGGAAGTAACTTCTGCTGACCACCTTCTGTAATCTGGCTTAACTGGCCTGGGAGGTATGGGAACCCTGGGGGGGACCTCGGGTTTATCTTCATCTGAATTAGGAGAAGCACGATGTAAGTGGCTGGCCAGCCTTGGAGCTGGCTTGTTAAAGGATCCAGCCGGTCCTGAATGGGACCTTCGTAACTTCCGGTGGGACTGCTGAAGAAGAGGGGTTGAGTTTTGTACATTTTCGTTTTGGTCAGATGTCGGCCTCCCATCTTCTATAGCTGGGGCATCAAAATATGCGTAATTGATCTGCCCACACCCACGGAAGCTTCGTCTGCCTGGAACCCCGTACTTAAAGACAGAAAGCGAACAGTCTTCTAAGAGGAAGTCTGTGTCTGAGCTCGTTATAAATTCCACCTCACAGTCTGTGTCATCTGGAGAAAAGTCCTCAGAGATAGGCAGGGGGGGAAGGGGCCTGGAACCCCGCTCCCCAGAAGTCACCGAGGAGAATAGGGAAGGCCCGTTTTTTACGGGTGTGAGAGGGGGACTCCTGGAAGCAGCACAGACCCCATTCACAGAGAGTTTCTTAACACCACACGCAACATGGTCCTCTTCACTCTTTCCAAAGTGTTCACTGGGGGAAATAATGAGAGGCGGCAAGCCCGACTTCATCTGAGAGGGAGTCCGGAAACAGTTTTCGGCGAAGCAATGGCCATTCACTGGGACAGGTTTTGAAATGTGCCCTAGAATAAACAGGAGACGTTAATACGAGATCTCGTTTTCCCACTGTGTGTGGTGGAGCCTCAGCTATCTCCACCTTGGGTAGCTCTCTGCCTAACCAAACACCTCTATTAGTGAAATACTTTCCTGGTGTAACCCTGAGAACACTCAGTCAACGATGGGTGTAATTAGAGAACAGAAGATTGTTCATGTGCATGAACTGGTTCAAAGAACAAATTATCTTCTCTATCTCCTTTTGGACATGAGCACAGTGCACACCCACACATCTCAGGCAAACGGTGTGACGTGTGCACAATTCGCAGAAGATGAGCAGCATATAATTTATATGAACACCACACAGCACCGCCTCGCCATTTCAGGCGGGTGACAGCACAAGGCACGCGGGGCATGAGGGAGATAAGGAGAGGACTTGGCCGCTCCAGCCTAAGGACTATGACAGGGATCCCTGGGCTTGGCCCGATAAGCAGCTCTTGACAAAATCTGCAGACCAGGATGTTCACACTAAGTGGACTCTATACCCATCTCTTACTGGCAGAACAGACTTAACCCTCCTGAATCTTTAGCTCTCAAACATGGCGGTGACTCAGGCCAGCACCGTTCCCATGGGAGAGATAAGGAAGCTCATCCAGGCTTCTTCCAGGTAGGGCAGCATCATCGCTGGGATTGGAACTGAATTCCTGACTCTAATAAGCCCACGCTTCAGACTCAGGTTAATAAAATCAGTGGCTGCAGCCTGCCCAAGATGGTGGGTCCCCTTAACTGGAATGTGAGCTCCTGGGAGATCAAGGATCGTCTTGACTTCTAATTCTTCCCCCTGGTGATCTGTAGTGAGCGTTTAATAAATATTTTCCTCATTTCTTAAGGGAAAAAGCCATCTCTATTTCCACCCAGCTGTTGCCACTAGAGGTCAGACGACTGTTTCAAATGTTTCAGACTTCCTCATTTTTTTTACATGAGGCCACAGGACAAAACACTCCTCACCCCCACCCCCAAATGCTTAATTCCACTTGACTCCAACTATCAGGAGAGATACATACCAAAGGTTGTCAGGTGCTGCTGGGTGGTAGAATTCAGGTTGTAGGCCATGGTTATTGGGTCAATATTTAAAAAGTTGCTAAAAAGAAAAACATGTCTCAATTAGTCACAAAAAAGCAGTTGGAGCACTCATGTCTCTTTTAAACAAAACAATGCCAAGGTGGAGCTCAGATCAGGCAGGCCTTGCAGGTACAAGGCAGATTAGGAGGGAGCTCTCTCCCCACTTACTTACTTCTCAAACCCTTTGCGGCTTCCCCAACAGGTCTTCAGGCTTCCCATGGCTTGGCCATTCCGCAGAAATCCAGTCTTTAATGGGACTCTGATTTCCTGAGCAGCAACTCCTGCTGATGACATCGTGCCTTACTCTCAATGCCGACGCTTTTGCACCTCAGGGGTCTTCAGTCAGCCAGCAGCTTTCATTCCCTTGGAGAAGAAAGAGAAGTGAGGAAAGGAATAGCAGAAACGAAGCAATCCCCATTGAAATAGCGCCTGTTTATGGGGCTTCTGAATTTTTCAGGGGAAAATATTTATTCATTCAGGGACAGAGTGATTAGCTAAATGCCCAAGAAATCCCAGATGAGAAGTACTCCTCAGGACTGACGTCACAATCAAAGTTACTGGAGTGAGGGGTAGTAAAGACCATGTTGGTAGACCCCAGGCGGAGGCTTGAAATATTTCAGCAGAGGGGGAGAGAAACAGGGGAAGGGAGGTGGTGCCAACAAAAGCAGACCTGGTAGATCAGCCCCCCTCTGCTGATGGACTTTTTCCTTCCAGTCCATCCTGCCCTTCTCCTCCCCTCCAGGGAAAGGCCCTCTGGAAAAAGTCTTTCACCTCAACATCATCAAGACGGGCACTGGTCAGCAGGGCCTTCATCCAGATGCCCCAACACTTGTAGCTGCGTGACCCTGTGCAAGTCCCACAACCTTTGTGGCCCTCAGCTTCCCCCCTGTTGCGCTGAACTCCCTGGCTCCTGAAACTCCTCTCCAGCACAGATCTATCACTAAGACTTAAAGTCTGAATTAAAGACATATGACTGATTACAAGGCATGGCACCAGGGCAACCTATACAAGAGCACTGGTTTTGACTCAATATTTGTTTGGGCCATGGGACAGGGAGAGAGGTAAGCTATCCAGGGATTTCCTTACTTAAGACTGCTGTTGTTCAGTTAGGTCTGACTCTCCATGAACCCACTTGGGGTTTTCTTGGCAAAGATACTGGAGCAGTTTGCCATTTGCTTCTCCAGCTCATTTTACAGATGAGGAAACTGAGGCAAACAGGATGAAGTGGCTTGCCCAGGCTCACACACAGCTAGTAAGCGTCTGAGGCTGGATTTAAACTCAGAAAGAAGAGCTTTCCCGACTCCAGGCCTGGGGCTCTATGCACTGTGTCACCCAGCTGGCCCTTTCCTTAAGACACCAGTGGCTATTTCTGCAGACCGTCTCATTTCCAGGATCCTGTGAAAATCAAGTTCTGCAGGTTTACTGGCTTTAGAAGAGCTATACTATTCTGTGACCTACTCCTTGCTTCCCTCCCCCACTTTAAAAAATAAAAGCACACAGATGTAAAAGTACATTCTCCACATTCTCCTTGGTGGAATGCTGGAGAATTCAGGCCTTGCCTAGCTCTAAGGCATGAGTTACACAGGATGTAAGTAAATTTTGCCTAATCCAGGGGGTTCCAAACTTAAGGCTGCCCCTTTACTAACTCTGGGGTCCCACTCAGCCCTTTCAAATTTGCCCTATCCTCCCATGGCTCCCCACTCCCCAAGTCATTTGTTCAAAGTTCCCCAGTTACCTGGAAGGTGGATTATCCCTTCGGGAAGAAACCTAACGTCCATCTCATTATCAAGCACAAACTTTACTGAGCACCTAACATCTAATTATTTCACCTAAAGGCCTTAAAAATGCTCTCACATGCTTATTTCATGTCAGAAAGACTGCACGTGTATTGGCGTTCTATGGGTCACAGACTGGAACAGGTCAAAAGAAATCAGTGATGACCTAGCAAAGAGCGTCTCGCTCTCTTTAAACACAAGACCACGATGCAACATCAGCGTTCCTCTTCCAAAGCCAGATTCCTGTGAGCTCACTGCTATACAAGGTAATAATCTGAGCGGCATGCTGGAGACCCATTTCAGAATGAGGCCTGTATTTCCTCCCCCATTTCAGTGCCCAACAAATACCACTTGTTTAAAGTAAAACTACCCCGGAATTCAGCTGGCCTAGGTATGTGTATTAATACTTGCTTGTGGATCCTGAGCAAATGTGTTTTCTCTTCATTTACTATTTCTTGAGTCAAATGAGGCTGGAGAAAGGGGGGAGGGGGACTAGTTTGCCTGTCTTCAGACCAGCTGTCAGCACACTGGTCCTAAGTAGACATATGCTGGTTTTTCTAAGCATACTACAAGCACTGGTGAGACCATAGGGAAAGTATCTGTGGTAATATAAAAATGAAAGGCAAGATAGGAAGGAGAATATGGTATTTAAGTAGTTTGAAAGCACCCGTATGAAGATCACTCATTCAGATTACAGGAAAAAGCCCCAGGCCATTGGAGGAGGCCCAACCCCCACCTGTATGGCCGCCAACAAGCACTCCTCGTAATTACTGGGTCAGCCTCCGTGCCATCTAAATCTTAGCTTTCAACAGAATGATTGTGTAACTATTCCCTGTTCTGAAACTGCCTTGGAATTTTAGGCTTACATTTCAATGGACACTTAAAACTATTTACACATTCTAGGAAAAGTTATTTTTCAATCATTGTTTCCATCACCTACTTGTTAGCTTTCTGAAGGAAAAATTTTTTTATATATATAAAAGAATTGTATTCACTGAGCCAGCTCCTTCCTAACCACAATAGTGCCTTTGTGTATTCATAGAAGGTTGACCTGCCTCTAAATTTCAATGGGGAATTGTGAATGGGCCGTGTTATGAAACTGTCCGAACTTCCTACTTGCTTGAATGGCAGACGTGAGGAAGGCAATATCATTGCATGTTCTCCCCAAATGGAAAATAGCCTTGGATTGTGGATTCAAAAGGGCAATGTGCCACATGTGAAGAAACAAACAATTTAATTTGTGTTCATCGTAGATTATAAGCTCCCCAGGGTCAGGGCCATACCTCACGTTAAAAAAAAAAATCTCTCTACGGCACCTAGCATGTAGGAGAAACTGAATAAATATATCATAGCATGAAACAGATGGATAAGATCTCAGAGACCAGCTGATCCAAAGCCCTTGTTTGACAGGCGCAGACCCCAAGGCTCAGGGAAGTTAAGGGACTTCCAGGTCGCTCAGGAGGAGGTCTGGGATGCAAATTCAAGTCTTCCCAGCAGTGAGCGCTCTTTCCCCTACGCCAGCCAGGAAACCTTAAGGAAGATGAGCCACCACCCCTCCCACTAAATTTTATATTCTAATGTTCAACATCAACAAGGTGAAACCTCGAGTTTAGTAAAGAACCGACCTCAGTTTGTCTAATTAATATTCACCAAAGTGGGCTCCTGAATGGTTCCGTTTCAAATTCAGTTCTGGTTTAGAATTCATTGGAAAGCAAAGATTATTAAGAAAAAAAAAATCTCTGCAGAGAAATTAACACCTGAAAATACAAGGTGTACCTTTTCTACTGCTATGAAATGACAAAAATACGATTAGATTAAGAAGCGCTGGGCAGCACAATCTAGGCCCAGGTCCAAATAATCCAGGCCACAAAAACTAATTTACCAAGCAGCAGTCAAAAACCCAGCAGATCCCGAGGTCATGCTGTCTCAGTATTGTAATTCATAGGCAGCTGAAAGGGGCTCCTGAGAGGTCAAGGGCCTCACCCCTGGTCATACACAGGCATCTGATGGCACCACGGCCAAGCCCGGAGCCGCTTCCACCACACCATACTCTGCCATCATCACATGATCAAAAAGGCCTACACGAGAAAGCGCCATATAATTACGGCCAAATTAAAAGAAAATGTGCTTCCCATTCTTGCCTCTTTTAAAAATAATTACTAGACTAAGGCTCACCGGTTTAGACCCACATGTTGATGGAACCCAGAGAAGGTCTGGATGGAAAAGGACTGGTTTTAAATTGATGTTAATGACTGGCATCAGAAAAGATAAGGCTGAGCAGCAATTCCAGGGAGTGTTGAATTTGAGTGTTATCCTGCTAATTCTACTAATTCTATATTTGAGGTGATTTTCCAGATTCTAAAATGGAATATTTTTGTAGACTGAGTCAAAATACAATGACCTAAAGAGGCAACCCTGGCTTAGAATCTACCATTTCCAGTGCTACATCCTAGTTTATTTGGAGAAATTAGAAGGTACTACAAAGGTCATTTCCGGCTAAATGAATTTCAGGCTTCCCTAATCTTTTGCTTCCTAGTAATGATAAATGTAAAAGGAATTACTATGAATGCTTTACAATTTACAAAGGGCCTTCATTTTATCAATTCAAACATCTATTAAGCCACTAGGATAGGCAAAAGATGTAGCTAAACATGGGGGATTGAAACAAAGATGAATAAAATACCACCCCGGCTTTAAAGAAGTTTACAATCTAATCTGTAGGCTGTGGAGACTCAAAACTGCAATGCAAATGAGGGGATTAGTGCCCAGGGGAAATCCAAGTATTCTCTTCCACCAGGGATACCGCAGGAGAAAGCTTCAGGGAGGGGTCAGCTCAAGGGCCCTCAGGTTGGAAGGCCCAGGCCAGCATCTGGGGAGTAGCTACAAATCCAAGTTCATGAAAGCAATGGAATCTGTGCTGTAAGAAACAATGAACGGCATGAATGAAGAAGCCTGGGAAGACCTACTGGAACAGATACAAAGGGAAGCAAGCAGATCTAGGAAAAACAATTCCCACAAGGGAAAAAGGGGGGGAAAGGCTACAGTGTAGTTCTGGGGAACCTGGCTTGTGGTCTACCTGCCGTTCTTGGTTATGGGGGTGGCCCTGAGGCCAAAGATGGGTAAGGAATAGAGAGAGAAATGAAAATCATGTAAAAATCAAGTCATTTCCAAAATTAAGATATGCTAAGGAAGAAGTTTCAATTGACAAAGGTGGTAGACGGTGTGTATTCTTGGAGTAAGACTATTAGCAAAGGAGAGGTCGAGAAAGAGGTAGAATGACCCCTACCCCAAGGCAGGAGAGGGAGTCGGGGGTCAAAATCCATGGATTTTTAACTTCCGATCTTGAGCTGGAAGACTGCCCTGGAAGACTGCCCGGTGCTGATCTAATCAGTCTCCCATTTCACAGATGAGGAAAGTGAAGTCTGGCTTCTGTAAGGGACTGTAGTAAGTAGCAGAGCAGGGATCCAGTCCCACTTATTCTGGCTCTAAATACAATGTTCTCTTCATTATATCGAGCTGTCCCCTTCAAGTAATTTTACATTAGAAAAACAACAACAAACTTAAGCCTAATACTATGTACCCACTTGA